TCAACATATCAGTTGATTCTCATTAGTATGAACCTTCTGCAACAGTATATCATCAAAAGCAATTAATGCTCTGATATTATGATATCTGACATGAATGTGCTTAGTTCGCGCATGTTACACTTGGTTCTTAGCTAAACAAATGACACTTTAACTATCACGATGCAACTGACTCCACCTTGCTCAACACCCAGTTCCTTTGCTAGCCCAATAAGCCATAAGACTTCTTTAACAGTTTCAGCTACTGTCATGTACTCAGCTTCAGTTGTAGATATTATCATAATAGACTGAACTGTTGATTTCCAATATATTGGCCCTCCACCAAGAGTAAACACATACCCGATTGTACACCTTCTGTCATCCAAATCACCTGCATAGTCTGAATCCATGTACCCCACAACTGAAGAATCATTCTGCTGACTACCAAAAAATAATCCATGTCCTACAGTACGCTTCAGGTATCTGAAAATCCACTAGGCTGTTTTCAAATGTTGCATCTCAAGTTTAGACATGTATTTGCAGACTTGACTAACAACATGAGCCAAATCAAGGCCAGTACATAACATTGCATACATCAATGAGTCAACTACACTGACATATCGAACATTTGCCATATCTTCGATTTCCTTATCTGTCTCCAGACACTGTTCTGAAGGAAGCTTAAAATGATTTGTCAATGGCGTGCTCATAGGTTTCGCTTTGCTCATCTCAAACCTGTCTAGCACCTTCTCAACATAGTCTCGTTGAGATAAACATAATCGTCTTGAGCCTCTATCTCAATGAATCTTCATTCCAAGAATCTTCTTTGCAGGACCCAAGTTTTTCATGTTAAATTCTTGGCTCAATAAAACTTTCAAACCAATGACATTATGCATATTCTTTGTAGTAAACAGGATATCGTCAACATAAAGTAACAGAAAAATCGAGACTCTTAACATAGACAAAGCAATCATACTTACATCGCTTGTAGCCAATCTGAATCAAGGAGTCAAACCGCTTGTACCATTGTCTTGGAGACTATTTCAACCATACAAAGATTTCTTTAATCTGCAAAACAGATTCTCCAGTCTAGGTTGAGTAAACCATTTTGGCTGCTCCATCTAAATCTGCTCCTTTAGATCACCATGCAAAAATGCAGTTTTAACATCCATCTGCTCCAGATGAAAATCCCAAATGACTACTAATGCAAGCACTATCCTGATTGAAGTATGTCTAACCATAGAGAAAAAGATTTCATCATAATTCATCCCCTTATGCTGTGAAAATCTCTTTGCTACCAATCGAGCTTTGAACTTTTTCCCATCTTTTTCTGATTCTGCTGCTTTCTTTTTGTACATCGATTTGCACCCAATAGTCTTTTTTCCCTAAGAAAAGTGAACTAGCTTTCATATGTGATTTTTCTGTAAACACTTCATCTCCTCAACCATTGTACCAATTCATTTCTCTTTCTCCTGGTTGATGATGAGAAGTACACAAGAGACCAAGCCTTCATAACACAATATACTATGAGGCCTTATATTGGTGCATCTATGTCTGTCTTTGGCTAGATTGTAATTCTGCAAATTATCTGTATTGGAATCACCCGGTGTTGGATTTGAAAATTCAACTCTCTCAGTTGTTTCTAAATGTTGTTCTAAATCCATTTGCACTGTATTTGAACTAGAGTTATTTTCTGACACCTTGTCATGATGCTGTTGCAACAAGAACTGCTCATAAAAAATGACATCTCTACTGATCACTATCTTCTTTGCAATCGAATCCCAAAACTAGTATCCTGTCACACCTTTCTTGTAGCCCAGAAAGATGCACTTGAATTTTGCATCAAGTTTTGATCTTTCATCACTAGGTACATGCACATAAGCAGGACAACCAAAAATATGTAAGTGATCAAACTTAACTGGATTACATGTCCATATCTCTTCTGCAACCTTGTCACCCAATGATACCCAAGAAAATCTATTGATGAGATAGCATGCCATATTCACTCTCTGCCCAAAAACTTTTAGGAAGTCCTGCATTCAGTCTCAAGCATCTTGTCGTTTCAGTTAAGGACATCATTCTGTTATGGTGTCTTGCGTACTGAAAAATGTCTCTAACTCTCCTACTCACAAAATTTCTAAAATTGCGAATCTGTGTACTATGTCATTATCAGATTTCAGACAATTGATTTTTCTGTCAGTTTAATTCTGCACCTGAGTTTTCCACAGCTTGAATTTAGAGAATACTAAAATTTTTTGCTTCAAGAAATACAACCAAACTTTTTTGGAGAAATCGTCAATAAAAGTAACAAAATACAGCGATCATCCCAATGATGATTCTTTGGTAGGGCCCCATACATCAGAATGCACATAATCAAGAATCTCTTAAATTTTGTGTTTTTCAGTCATGAAACTGACTCTAGTATGTTTTTCAAGAACACAAAACTTACAAAAATCGAGTTTGCAGCTTTTCACACCATGCAACAGATTTCTTTTATGCAATTTCGTCATCACACGTTCACTAAGATGACAATGACGCATGTGTCACAGTTTTGTATTGTCATCATCTGACTCCACAGAATGAACTTCACTTACAACTGTACTCCCAACAGTTTGTAGATATTCACTGTAGTTAACTTTCCTTTCATGACTGTCAGCGCACCCTTAACAATTCTGATAGTTTTCATATCCTTATCTGTTTTAGGAATAAAACCATTTGTATGTAAAATGCCCAAGAAAATCAAATTCTTTTTTCAAATTTAGAATATGTTTGACATCACATAATATTCTAATGGTGTCATCATACATTTTAATCCTGATTTCACTAATACCAACAATATTAGATCTATCATTACCTAAAAGACAACAAGAATTAGATAACCTGTATGAAGTAAACCACTCTCTATTAGATGTTATGTGACTAGAACATCCTAAATCAAGAATCAATGCATTCATGAACTGAGTTGATGACACTGAAAACATATCACCATCACTACAATCTGAATTGTCACTCGACACCACATTTACAAACTTCGATTAAGCATCATGTTTCTCATCAGTCTGCTTATTGAGCTTTGAACAATCTCTCTTTATATAACCCGACTCCTTGCACTTGTAGCAATGAATCGTTTTTCTGCCTCTAGGTCTTTGGACTTTGATCTGGAATTTCATTTTCCAGTACCCTCTTGCTTACTTACACAATCCTGATTACCCTTAACATATAAACTATCACCGTGAGAGTTTTCCCCTGCATTCTGCTTCCGCTAGATGTGAGCTAATAATACTGAAGTAATCTCATCATCTTTGATTTTTTCTTTCTCATATATAAGAATAGTCACCAGATGTTCATAAGAGGGAGAAAATGAATACAACAGAATTATTATTTGGTCTTCATCCTCAACTTACATCTAATCGTGATAAATCTGTGATTATTAGATTGAAGACATTCACATGTTGCGCCAGATCAGAGTCTTCTTGCATCTTCAGCCCATACAACTTTTGTTTTAGATACAATTTATTTGTTAGAGATTTGGATATAAACTGAGTTTTCAATTTCTTCCATATCTCTCATGGAGATTTTAGATTCATTACGTGATACATAACCTCATCTGTCAGACATAAATGTATGGTTGTTGTCGCTCGTTGCAATTCTTCCCGATCTTCATCATCCATGATTTCTAGTTTTGTTGCCCACAAAGCTTTTCAGTTCCCTTGCTGCGCCAACAAATCTTTTACCCTTGCTTGTCACAATCCGAAGTTATCATTTCCATCAAACTTTATAATTTTGAAATTTGCATCGGACATTGCCATTTGAAATTACTCCTGCCACGAACTTTTCCTGCGAATTTCTCTGCCTCAGTTGCTGAATTGCTCGCCCAAATTTCTTCGTACAAAATCCTTCGTCGAACAATCACGTGATCGTCGAACCGAACCTGCGCTGAAAACTCTCGTCCCGGTCATTCCAAGCCCTCGTCTTTGACCTCCTTGCGCCGAACCGATGGAGCCCTCGCCAAACTCCTATGCGAAATTCGCCGAATGCCACGATTCACAGATTCGCTTGCTCCTCCTGCGACAAACAACCCGAACCCTAGCTGAACTTTTCTGCCAAATCGTCGAATCCTTCTTCGTCGCTCCTGCGTCGATCTCTTCTTCCCTAGAACCTCTTAATGAGAATTTTAGGACAAAGAAATGCAAGAATCGACATAAATCCAAAAGAAAACATAGAGATTTAACGAGGTTCAACAAAGAAGTCTATGTCCTCGGGAGCAGAGCGCGGGTTTTTCTTTCAATTTGAGAAAAAAAAGTACAAGTTCCTATTAGGGTCACAATACATCATATATATAGCCCTGACGTACAATATGTAATTATAAAATTACCCTTATACCGTACCGCGGAGTCGTTGCCCCCGCACCCCCAACTCACATAACGAAACTCCCCCGATTGGACAAATGCTTCCGCTCGCGAGCTCCGCTTGGTTCCAGCATCTATCCCTTTTTATGGTAATATGAGCCATACCTAACATCTTTAGTGTCTGTTTATTGCAATTTCAGCACGTATGAAGGGCACTAGAAATGATCAACTCATCAAGATTTTTGAAGGAACTTCAAGAGAGAGCCTTATGTTGTATGATTTAGTGATTAACATGGCCCATTTTACATATATTTTTAGTTTACTAGCCTTATAGCAACATAAAGCAGTCAAGTTACCGTCTCACTTTGGATTTTCACAAAGGAAATGAATCAAGAACAAACATAAAAGCAAAGGCCAAAAATTTTCAATTGCAGATAACAAAATATAACGTGCCAAAATGAACTATAAAATTTGTTTGTGCAATGCTGTCAAGCTTTACTTCAGCACCAATATTAAGTTGAGGAGAAGTAAACACACGAATGATAAAAAAGTAATCCTTGCAAATTTTTTTTAATACATCAAATCATGACTCCTCTTTGTGATTCTATTGTCGCTTAATTAAAAATTCCTAAACTTCATAATTATAAGTATAAACAAATTTGTAAAGAGGAGTACCGAATTTTCATATCTTGAGGCATTCTCAGGCAAAGAATTTCCTGGTTGATCGAAATCTGATGATTGACCATTGTGACATGACATGTCAGTGTTGTTGCATCTTGAATCTCTTTCCAAATTTAAATGTTTCACATTTATCTGATTCTCAACAATACCAATGTCAGTAATTTTCGAATTTTCTAAAATCTCATCAAGTTCCGTGAAATTATTTTTCGCACAAACACTTGCAGCAAAATTGGTCTCGGTTGTAAGTTCGACATTGCCATCCGTTTTTTGAAAGCTCAGGCTATGGCACTCCGTAGTCTCAATATTTTCTGTTGTCACACCAGCACAGGGAATTTCATCTGCATTAGACTTGGTTGACACATCATGTACTGTCTGATTGCTCTGTATTGTTTTGAATGAAGCGTCTATAGAGTCCTGATGTATTATGGTTTTTTCCAGGGAGAAAAACATATCATCAACCATATTAGAGTTTCCAAAATTAGAATAATCTACACAAGGAGAAGAAACTGTTCTTTCCAAATGCCCTGGTATTTCAGTCGGAGTATTGCTTGCAGTTATAATAAAAGATCCAGAAGAAGCAACAGTTGCATCTAGTGGAAAGACCTCAGACTGGCAATTCTCACTAACCACGGAACATAATGAAGAATTGGTGCATCCTGTGTTTGTTTCAACCTCGTTGATCTGTAGATTTAGCCCACTATATTCAGATGGAGAAGCTTTCATATGCTGACAAGTATCTGAAGAGCATCTAGCAGGGTTGGAGAAAGACACTAAGCTGTGATGCTGCAATCTCTGATCGATGCAGACTTCATCTTTTAAACTTGTGATCCATTCTGATGGAATTGAGTTCAAATCAACATAAAGGTTAACACCCTCCTCAGATACCACAAAGAACTCAAACGAAGGATTTTCTTTTGAGGAGTTTGCATAGGAAGACAAAAATCCAACTTTTGCAGAACTTGGTGAAATTCTTGGTTGTCCGGATGAAATACGATGATTATCACTGTTTGAAACAACATCAATAGATAGTTTCTGGCCATGGTTTCTTACTGTTGAGGATTTACAGGATTCTTTTTTAAAATTTTCATCATGGCACCAAGAACCATGTTGAGGGGCTTTTGAAGCGTGAATATCAGCAGCAACTGATGGTTTTCCGCGCAACCCACCAAGCTCAGAAGCAGAAAAACCAAAACCTTCTTCTCTTTCAATATTAGATGTGCATCTGTGGACAGAGTTTGCACTAGTATCGCATGCCTATCAAAATAGTGCAAAGCTACATGTAATGTACATAAAATAAGCTAACAGCTACTAAATAATGCAGTGGATAATCAGCTAACATATCAAAGGAAAGAATTGCTAATTAAGGAAAACAAACCTTAATATTGTGCATGCACTCACTAACGCCATACTGAATTTGGGTTGGAAATTTTAGCCCATCATTGCCTCCACTTTCCTTAGCGGCCTCGGGCATCTTAGAAGACTTGAGAGAATTTGCAATTCTCTTATATGATCCTACAATTTTTTGAGCTCAATGAAATATAACAGAAAATTACTGCGCCTCCAGCATTTTGGTTCCCAAGTTGCTAAAATTTTATTTTTCCATAAATGTCGTAGAGTTATACCTATTCCAGCTTCTCTGGGAGAAACAGCTTTTCCTTTGGGTCTTCTAGTATCCAAAGAAGCAGGCTCCATAAAGTTGCTTGACTTTCCCATGGAGGGCCCTGGATAAACAGTTGGCTTCTGCAAAATGTTTGATCTCCAAGAATAAGAGTACTATAAAGCTTTTTAAACCACAAGTCTACTTTCATCACAATAAAATAAAATGAAAGGCACCTCAAAAAAATGAAGCTAATTTTTTGGCTGACCTAGTAATGTTTCTGTTTGTAAAAAGATTACTCTCTTTTTCGTCGCACAAACCTTGAAATTCTGTGTGGGAGAGGTTACGGTATGCTAGATGTCTTGATATTCCATTAACTCCACATATAACTCAATTAGAAGCCAGTTCAAAAGATCCAACATTAAATACCTTCCGTGCCATAAAGAAGTCATTAATAAATAAAGTTTACTGAACATCAGTCAAAATGAGATGCTATAAACTGAAACAATTCAATCGCATAAAGGAAAAAAACCTAGATGACTAGGTGAAGCAAGAATCACTTAACCTGTATATATGGTTAAAAAAACTTGCGCACCACAACTCTATTAAGAAATGAATAATCTATAAACATTTAAAGCTAGATTGACCCCCTCTATGTAAAGTAAAAAAATATATAGGAATGTATTGCCACAATTATAAATTACATTTATTTGATCATACGGGTTTGGAGCTGAGAAGGGTATAAAGAGGAGACATACAAACACTGATGATCAAGTAAACCTTTCACTATATATCAGTAGCAATTACAACCAATACTTGACAAAAAAGAAAAAAAGAAAAGAAAAATCAACAACTTCATCCTAAACTAGTGTGAGTTGACGCCATGCATGAGTGTCTTACGCCTCACTGGGCATTCATTATAAGAAAGAGATTGCCTTGTTGTGTCGTTGCTCAAGTGAAATGCGAATAAACAATTAGCATTGAACTCTCAAGGATTTATCTAAAATTATTTATTTCAGGCTTGTAATTATATTTGACAATGTATCATTTGTATTAATAGAATTAGTAGATATTATGGTTCATAGAAAGATAAATACCTTGCGTATTCAAGAAACAAAATGGGTTGGAGAAAAGGTTAAGGAGAATGATAGCTTAGGTTTCAAACTTTGGTAATCAGGTATGAGTCACACTAGAAATGGTGTAGGTGTAATTATGAATAAGAGTTTGAAAGATAATATTGTAAGAGTTAATAGAATTGAAGATAAAATTATAACTCTAAAGATTATTGTTGATGATGAGATTTTTAATATTATAATTGTTTATGCTCCTCGAGTATGTTTAAATATAGGTTCTAAAGAAAAATTCTGAAATGACCTAGAAGAATTAATACAAATGATATATCTTCAAGAAAAATTTTTTATTGAAAGAGATTTAAACGGACATGTTGGTAGAATAGTAGAAGATATTAGAAATTTCATGGTCGTTACAATTTTGGAGTGATTAATGAAGAAAGTGAAACTATGTTGGATTTTGCTTTAACGTATGATTTTGTTAATACTTTATTTAAGAAAGAAGATGCAAGTATTATTACTGATAAGAATGGATCTAATAAAACACAAATTCATTGTTTTGTTATGAGAAAAATAGATCATCGAGAATATAAGGATTGTAAAGTCATTTCAAGTGAAAATTTAAGTACTCAACATCGATTATTAATTTTAAACTTTAAGATAAGAAATTGTGAAATAAAAAAATACATTGAAACATTGTGATGGAATTATATGGGGGCACATAAAAACATAAATAAAATTATTTTTATGAGTAAACTTCAAGATTTCAATATTTAGGATGTTCATGAAAAAACTAATTCTGTGTAAGATAAAGTAACAAGCACTAATAAACAAGTGGTAAAAGATATAATTGGAGAATAAAAAAAAAATATAAATAAAAATAGTTAGTGGTGGAATAATGAGCAAAAAAATATAAAACATAGGAAGTTGTATTATAAAAATTTGTTTAAATGTAAAAACCTAGAGAATTAAGAAAAATATAAGATGGTTTGTACATAGTCTAAGAAAACAATTTGTGAAGCTAAAAGTTTTATTTTTAGTGAACTTTATAATAGATTAGATACTAAAAAAAGTAAAAAATATAAGAATAAGCTAATCAAACAAAGAAAAAAAAGAAAAGTCACGATTTAATTCAAGTAAAGTATATTGAAGATGAAAATCAAAAAGTATTTTTCATTGAAAAAGATATTTAACATAGGTTGGTAAGATATTTTAATAAATTTTTTAATGATGTTTCTGAAAATACAATCAATCTCAGTGATCTTAATATCGTTAATAATAATAAAACATTTTATTTTAACTGTCGCATTAATAAAAAAGAAGTTGATGAAGCTTTAAATAAAATCAAGGGAGAAAATTAGTAGAACCCGATAATATCCCAATTGAAGTGTGGAAATATTTAAGAAATTTGAAAGTTTTTTGGCTTACTAAATCATTTAATATTATTTTAAAAATTAAAAAGATGTCTGAGGAGTGAGGAAAGAGGATTTTGATCCCCAATTTTAAGAATAAATGGGATGCACAAGAGTGTGCGGATTATAGAGAAATTAAGTTGATGTGACATACTTTAAAATTATGAGAGAGGATAGTCGAACATAGATTAAAAAGTGATACAAAAATTTCACATAATCAGTGTGGATTTATGTCGGGCATATCTGCTATGGAGTTATACGTTGATTGAGGTTTAATGCAAAAGTACATAGAGAGTAGGAAGGATCTTCATATGATTGTTATTGATTTAGAAAAAGCTTACAAAAAGGTTCCAAGAGAAGTCCTTTGGAGAGTTTTTGTAACATCCATAAATAATTTTCTTACATTTTTCTTCCTTCCGCGCATTTCTTTCCTTTCATGTTGCTTTCTGAATTCTGGTTAGCGATTTTTTTTCTTTCGATTCATTGTCGTCACCGTCCCTATTTGCTTGATCACACTGACTTCACTTAGTATAATTCAAGGCTGAAGGGTAGGGTTTACAATGCCTCATCCCACTTGCTCTCCCTCTTCTCCCGATTTCCCTCCTCCCGACTCCCCTTCCACTCGCTCCCATGCACCGAATACAACTGCTAGCAGTGAAGGCAACGAGATTGTAGCTTATAGAGACCACCAAAACTTCCTCCTTCCATCTGCTCCTACTCAAAACCAACGAGGAAGGTAAACCTTGTCATCCTCCCTCTCGCAAGCATCAAATCCTCTGAATCTCGTAAATCCTTTGCCAACCCAAGATTTAGGACAAACTAGAAAAGAAACGAGATTTAAAATATTATAAGATTTTAAGATATCATTTTATTTTTGGTACCTAAAAATTTTATTTAAAAATTCTAATTTCTTTCATATCAAAATGAAACAAAAAGAATAATTAAAGTTTATTTTGATTACATTAATTTATGTTGATAAAGTTCATAATTTTTCTGCTTTTATAAATATAATAATAATAATAATAATAATAATAATAATAATAATAATAAACACGGATTAGGTTATATCTAATTTAATAGTAAAACTTAATTGTATAATTAAACATTTATATTTCATCTTTCCAATTGGTGCAAGACTGATAGTTGGACAGTTGAATCGTAGAAGTATTGTGATTGCCGCCTCAAGGTAAGTAATTGTTTTTTATTAGAGAATAAACATGCTCTTTCTAGTTAGCAGTGTTAACTCCTTATTAATTGCACTAGATTCATTGTTACTTTATAGGATTATCAGTCATGCCCTTGTTATTTTAATTCTAATCTTATTACAGACTTCAATAATTTATCATGATGACATCATTATCTATCTTAATTTATTACTGTAAAACATCTTGCATATTTAAATTAAATATACAATTATGATCTTTTCTTTTTTTGCACTTAGATAAAATTACATCTGTCATATCATAAGCCTGTATAAAATTACAACATTCTTACATATTATACGTGTTGAAACAGTTTAGCATGCTTGCGTGTGATGGTATGTAGGTCGGCAAAACTCTGTTAGATTTTTTTGCTAGCCGGATCGACGAGCCAACAGAGTGACAACTCTATAGAAAATCATTGGGTCGGTACTAACCTTCCCAGTTTCTGGATGTGTTAAAATCAACTCTATAAATAATAACTTGAAATTGAATAATAGGAGCCTGATGAAAAATAATTGCATGTTTTTTTATGATATGCAGATTTGATGTTCATGCATCTCTTACTGTCTTACTTTTGCACATAGTGGTTGTCCTTATTTTTGTTCATACTGCATGTCACATTCCTCTTGTCGTTTATGTTTGAATAGATTACTGTTATTTATTGAGTTTGTCAAACTTACTCTTTGATATTTTAAATAATATGTTCTATTCAGCCACTGGTAAGACCATCTCCACCAGAGCAAGTTTTTTAATTTTAGTTTTCCCGTTTTGGTATTTTTTTCCTCAGTAATTATTTTAGCTATTGTATTTTTTTTTGGGTTAGAGTAGTTATTCCATATTATCATTTCTAGTTTAATTCAGCTAGTTTTTTATTTTTAGTCCAGTTGTATCATTGAACTTTTTAGTATTAATAAAATTTGCATTTTATTTTCTTCTATTTGCATGCAAATCTTTCTTTGAAAATACAAAATATGTTTATTTCATTTCATCATGTCCTGCGTTGCCAGGGTGTATCACCTTCCGGACTCTGGGTGTGACAGTTCTAGAGAAAAAAAAGGTGTTGGTACGACTTATATTCAAGTCATTAAAGATAGTATACTAGAGTTATTATTTGTGTTCGAACAGAAGGAAGATTGACCGAGTATTTTCCTATTTCAATTGGATTAAATCAGGGATCAACTTTAAGCCCATATCATTTTACTTCAGTTATGAATGCTCTTACAAGATATTTACAAGAGGAGGTACCTTGGTGTATGCTTTTGCTAATGATATCTTTCTTGTGAATAAAAATAATGAAAGAGTTCAGGAAAGACTTGAATTGTGGAGGTCTACATTTGAGTTTAAAGGTCTTTGTAGTTTAAAAGGTGTGAACGTTTTAGATATCTCAAGTCTATTGTTCATAGTGATGGTGATATAGATAGGGATGTTATTTGTAGAATTCAAGTTGGTTGGTTGAAGTGGAAGAATGCATCGAGTTGATGGTGTGATAGAAAAATACCATTTAGACTTAAAGAAAGATGTTATAAGATGGTGGTGACACCTGCAATGCTCTATGGCGTAGAATGTTGGCCTTTAAAAGAGAAACCTAAAATAAAGTTGAGTGTTGCAGAGATGAGAATGCTTAGATGGATGAGTGGCCTGACACTTAGAGACAAAATAAGAAATGAATATATCTATGATATGGTTGGTGTAGCTACAGTGGCAGACAAGATTATAGAGAGTCATCTTAGATGGTTTGTTCACATTAAGAGTAGAATATCTGATGATCTGGTTTGGAGTAGATGTTTTAGATTCAACTTATGTTAAGAAAGACAGATGTAGACTTAACAATTCTTGGACATATTGTATAAAAAATGATCTTAATCTATCAAAATTAAATGAATATATGACACTCAATAGAACACAATGGAGACAGGTGTAGACTTAACAATTCTTGTTGTTGTTCTTGTAATTATATTTGACATATGCTGTGTAATTTTCATTCTATGGAGTTAAGCCGGTTTAATTTTAGGACATCGGCCTCAACTTCTTACTCTTTTGTTATTGGAGACAAAATGTGGGATCAGATTTGGTGTGATTTCGTTCTTATGGACGCATGTTATATTCTGTTAGGGCAACCGTGGCAGTAAGACAGAGGTACGTTTCATGATGTGCACAAAAATACCTACACATTTAACAAAGATTGGAAGTGTATTGAATTTTTGTCATTAAAGGAGTTAACAATTACAATAACTCAAACGGAGAATGAAGCAATCATGCCTCTTGCCACCTTTTTATATGCTACGAAAGAGGTGCCAGGGACACTGACTTTGGTGATGCTAGAAGGCATGAGATGGAAGCACCAATACCTGCGGTAGTGCGACCACTAATGGAGTTTCAAGATCTCTTCACGAATAGTATGCTACCTAGATTGCCCCCTTCGCGAGAGATTCAACCAGCCATAGACCTTATCCCAGAATCAACGTTTCCCAATTAACCAACCTATCATATGTGACAAGTAGAGTATGAGTTACAAAAACAGGTTGAGGATCTAATGGCCTAAGGACTAATTCGCAAGAGCACTAATCCATGTGTTGGGTCAGCTTTGATTGTGCCAAAAAAGATGGATCGTGGTGCATGAGCATAAATAGCAGGGTTGTGAACAAGATCACAATCAAGTACAGGTTTCCCAAAATTTTTAGGTTTTTCAAACAGGAGAGCTAAATGGCCAACCAAAAATGTGTCATTTTCTTACACTGCAGACGCGTTTCTTAGGATATATCATTTCAGCTATCTACATTTAGATGGACCCAATGAAGATTAAGACTATTGTAGCCTGACCCATACCCCAATAATTTACTCAAATATGTCAATTTCATGATCTGAATTCTTTTTACAGAAAGTTTATCATAAATTTCAACTAGATCGTGACATCTTTGATGGAACTTCTCAAGTTAGATAAATTTGCACAGGCAAATGATGCTAAGGCTAACTTTGATGCATTGAAGAGACAGGCGACTCAAACCTCCATTCTCGCACTTCCAGATTTCAATGAAGTGTTTGAGATATTGGAAAAATATTTTACATACAATAAATAATTTTGTCACTGTGAAAGCTCTTAGTCACCAGTTATGTTGGCAAATGAATTGACTCTCTATGCTAGCCATGAGGCTCAGAAATTCTTGAATAGTAGAAATAAGCTAAATGGTAGACATTTCTCATGGGTGAAATTTTATTTCTTCGTTTCACTTTGTGCTTAAACATAAGATAAGGAGCCATAATAAAGTAGTTGATGCACCGAGTCGTTGCCACCTATGACTCCCAACGATGCAGTCTAAGGTCATTGGCTTTGAGATGTTGTAAGGATTCGAATGCGTCTGACAAGGGATTTTAAGATATTTGGGTCAACTGTTAGGATAGGTCGTACGAGCAGTATCACCAACATGATGGATATCTCTTATTCCAGAATAGACTATGCATTCCTTAGAATTTAATTAGAGATAGTGTTTTACAGGAGTGTCATAGTAGGGAGACGACAGAACATGTTGGCAGAGACAAGCCCCTCTCACTATTACAAAAAACTTTGCTGGCCCAGACTAATACAATAAGTGGAGAGACACGTCAGATGGTGTAGGGTATTTTACTTGGTTGAGACTCGAGGACAAAATATCAGGCTCTACATTACCCTTTCTGATCAAAAGGCACCCTAGTTGGATGTGAGCATGGATATCGTGATGGGCTTACGCCAGACACTGCCGAGTAATATTTTGTTATGGTTGTGGTAGATCATTTTTCCAAGATGGCACATTTTTGTCATAAGATGATGAATGCATCACATATTGTAGACTTATATTTGAAGGAGATGTTTCATTTTTATAGCATACCCAAGAGCATTAATTTAGACATTAATGTGAAATTTCTTAGCCACTTTTGGAGGACTTTATGAGGTAAGTTAGATATGAAGCTTTAGTTCAGCTCAGTAGCTCACCCTCAGACAGACAGGTAGATCAAGGTTGTAAACCACAGTTTGGAAAACCTTCTTAGATGCTTTGGGGGAAAGAAAATCAAGCAATAGGATTTGATTTGTCCTTAGGTGGAGTTCGCATATAATCATTCTACAAGTCAGTCCATAGGCCATAGACCATTTGAGATAATGTACGAGCGGAACCTCTCGTACGCCTTTAGAGTTGGTCCCTATACTGTCGGCTATTGAGCTTAACGCTGATGTTGATATTCGAGTCAAGAATATTCAGACCCTACATAAGGACGTCAGGAAAGAAATTGATAAGAAAAAGACCAAGAACCAAAAGCAGGCCAACAAGTTAAAGAAATGTATGATTTTCAACGTAGGCCACATCGTATGGATTAGGCTGAAAAGGAAGTGATATCCTGCGGTTCCTTTGGAAAGCTCAAGCCTAAAGTCGATGGTCCATTCAAAATTGACAAAAAGATTAATGACAATACCCATAATATTGATAACGAAAAATTATAATATTTCTGATACTTTTAATATTATCGATTTGTTGTCAATATTTCTGAGACTTATAATATTATCGATTCGTTGTCATACTACGAGGACTTAGATGTCTTTAGAGGAAAGAGCGAAGTCTCTCCTACCCGGGGAGAATGACATGGGAGCGTTGTCATTATGCCATGGTATAGCGGGATCGCAATAGTCCCGTGATCATGGAAGATGGGACTAAAGGATCGTATTTATCCTCTTCCTTTTTTTTCTCCTTATTTTCTACAAATTCCCTTCCTTCCTTCATTCATTCCTAGTCAATTCTTATTTTTTCATTTTTCAATTAAGTTTTTTTTCTATAATGAGACTTTTCATATGTGTAGTAGGTTTTTGGGATTTCAGTTTGTTGAGTATTTAAATAATGAAAGATTTCTCTGCAAATTTAGCTACCCAGCATGCTGTCACCACTTCCCTTCTCAAGTGGCGTGTCTGTTGCTTGCCAAAAAGAGGAGGTGGATCCATCTCACCGTCTGCACCTCGCTAATTCGCCATTCATCCTCTGTTTCCTGTTGGGCAGCCATCAAGGGTGCAGTCGCCTGCTGTTGTTAGCAGGAATCTGCACGTTTCTGCTCGCGGTTCGATGTCCCAACAGCTGTTCACGCCCATTATCGGCTTCCTTCCATCCTCCCACATCACACAACAATCCTACAATCTCTCCAACACTTTTTGTGCTTTATCTCACCATCTAGGAGCCCTAGGAGAATGTCATTGGTCCTCTTCTCGAGTTCTCGAGCTGCCAACATACTCAAAAACATATAAAGTCAGTAAAATTGATTCAAAATCCAATGGAAGACATGCTCAACAATTGTCGGCAAAAAGAAGGCTCCGTTGGGGAGTAACAGAAACGAGCAAGTCCTTCGCTAGATAACGGCCGATCCATTATTTCAGCCCAACTTACTTGTCTCGGGCCACAAGTTTAGGGCTATCACGGACATCTGACAAATCATGGATTGGGACTTAGAAAAGGGATGTACTTGGATGCAGGTGATTTGAGCTAAAGGAAACGAAAAAAGTATTGAAAACCCAAATCCTAAACCCTAGTAGACTCACAATCAATCCAACAAATGTTCGCATTTCTTCATTATATTACTCCACTTTCCTTCAACCCAACCCATGCGAAGCCTAGCGAAAAGTACAATGTGCAATTTTGAAGACAATATCAGCTAAGAAGAAGGCCACAGAAGTTACCAAAACAAGATTCTCCATAGGAATAATACCAGCACACAAAAAAATACACCTCAGCGATGAAATTGAACTTCTTACACGAAATCAAACTCATCTTAAAACAGCAAGTTGATCCCTGTGAGGATCGTAACTAGCAGTGGTTTCCAAAAAAACTAAGGCTCTGCCTGGCATAGGATTTAGAATAAGATTTAACCAGGATTTAAGCTAAATCCTGCAAGAAGATCACTTTGGCTAAATCCATTTGGAGAGTAAAACCAGGATTTTTAATCCAGGAATCGAGAAAGGGAAAGAAAGAGCTGGCACGAACTTACTTTCTTCGTACGCGCGATCCCGTCGTTGCCTTCCCACTTTAGCTCTCTCTAATCCAGACTGTATCGCCAGAGCTCGGTTGCCATCGCTTTAGACGACGAGGTTGAAGAGCAGCAGGGAAAAAATTTGCGTACACGCAGCGATACATGCTTCCTCCAAAGGGTTGACAAATCAGCACGGTCGGTCCCATCACATTCATTTAGACGAGATCCGTCGACCCGGCTATACATGCTTCCTCCAACGGGCTATTCACAAATCAGCAAGGTCGGTCTCATCACATTCATTTAGACGAGATCCGTCGACCCGGCCCGCTCGATTATAACCGAGTTATAACTGAGAGGTACAGGATTTATAACCGAGAGGGTCATTACCGCGGTACCGCTCGGATAATAGGCTTGTAACCTTCCAGTAACCTCAAAACGAATGAACCGTGTTTATAACTTCGCTGTAACGAACATGTAACCGAGAATTCAAACCGCGCGTTGTACCGCATGGGTATAATTGAGTTGTAAGTAAGGTGTAACCGAGATAAAGTGAAGCGTAACTTTGTAAACGAACTATAACTTCACTGTAACCGAGACTTCATACCGCGCGTAACTTTGTAAACGAATCATAACTTAGCTGTAACCGAGAGTTCATA